GACCCAGTACCCCCAGCTTGCTCCAACACCCTCCCTTGTTACTGTACCCTCTCTCCTGGCCACGCACTGCACCCTCCCTTGTTCCTGCTCCCTCCACCTGGCCAGAAACTCTACTTCCAGCCTGCTTCTGCACCCCATCCACCTCCCAGATCCCGCACCCCATCCCTATCCTACTTGCTAGGAGCTCTGTCTCAAGCACTGTATCCCTCATTTTTCTCCCTACCCCAGAGCCAAAGGAGATCCATAAAACCCACTAACTCCAGAACCCTAGAAAAGTAAATCTGGTCTATGGGAAGCCCTGAAGCTCAGTTTCCACCTTTCCTTCCCCTCACCTCATCTCATGAGGTAGTGGCCCTAGAGGAGTGAGGTCTCTCAGCTGGGGCCACATCAGTGAATGTTGGGGGGTTCTGGAGGACTTTTTTGGCTTATCACTTGTGGGGTCCCCAACTGATTTTTTTTTGTGAGTCAGTGACCCCAGACCCCAAAAGGGTTCCCCACCCCGACAAAGAAAACATTGAAGCCTTGTGTGTTGGACATAATATTTTAAAATTCAAGCTCTGACAGTCGTAGGGGGCGAGTTGCAAAGGTGGAAGCCTGCCATGAGGAATGCTGTGCAGTCGGGAAGCACATTGTTTCTACAAAGGAAGGCAAAGTGCCTTACAATCTGTGTTGGCATTTGCCCCCCAAGATAGCAGTCTCACATAACCTTATCGGAGAGTCAAGTAGTGACTTCAGTAGTCACTTCCCCCACCCTTTTGCTGATTATCAGAGGGGAGCAAGAGTTGGTGCTGGGGGGGGGAGCTGGTTTAAATGCCAGTTCTCCCCAGCACCGTCTCTGCATGGGGTAGGGGAGGCAGAGGCACAGTGGGGGAAATGGGATGAACAGGGACTGAAACAGTCCCTACTCACGTCAGTTCCCACTGCTGTGCTTCTGCTTTTGAAATGTAGCAAGAGCACAGCAGGGAGTACAGGGTAAGTGGGTACTGAAGCAGTCCTCGCTCACCCCATGCTCCCTGCAGCACTTCTACTTTTGAAAGCAGTCCCCGTGCTCCCTCAGTGCTCCCCTTGGCTCCCTGCCAGTCCCAGTGCTCCCTCAGTGCTCCCCTTGGCTCCCTGCAGGGCTCTAGCTACATTTCAAAGGCTGAAGTGCTAAAATGCAAACACCAGGCAAACAGGGACTGCTTGAGTACCCACTTGCCCTGTGCCCCCTGTGGTGCTTCTGAAACCCGATTAGCTTTTTTTTTAAATTATAAATTGCCACGTTTTCAGTCTCTTTTCCAACCATTGATTACACTGAACATCATATTTTACCTCAGTCTCAATTCTGATTGTTTTTTCACACCTAAAAAGTAACTAAAATTGTTTGCTTAGTAGTGAATGTGTCTGGAATCCACTTGTAACCTTATCTTACTGAACAAAGCTGCTTTTCAATACATTGATATAGCATGTACCCAAAGACTCCATTAGCTTTGAATTTTCCTGAAATTAGAGCCAATCATTTGTACCTATACAGCACTTTTAATCAGACCTCAAAACACTTAAAACTCCATGCCTTTATAACGTATGGAAGCATAGCATGGTTAAGTTTCTTACCCATCATTAAAAAGTAGACAGCTCCATGCCTTTATAACGTATGGTTAAGTTTCTTACCCATCATTAAAAAGTAGACCTCAGATGTCTTAGGTTCTGGTACTCTTACCACTACCGAACACAGCCTTTCTATGCAGTTATCACAAGAAAGGCATTTTGCAAGACAACAGCAGCCGGAATTTATAGACTTCAGAGTTTAGGTCAATAAGATTCTCAGGATCAGATTTTGTTCCTTATACTTCTCAGAAGGCTGCCAATAGATTCATCCCAGAATGAATCATTTTCCTAATGACTTGGAAAGAGTTTGTTAACTGTCTATTCTTAGGCATTTGTTCTGCATGGTTTCAAACTGGGACAAAAATGAAGAAAAGGACCCAATACTTTCACAAGAAAATAATAATATGGCTACATTAGGTCAGACCCATGGGCCAGCTACCCTCAGAATTCAGTCTTGCAACAGTGGCCAGATGCTTGGGAATTAACAGAACAGAACAACTTCTGAGTGATCCATCTTTGCCTGTCATATAGTCCCATCTTATGGCAATCAGAGGCTCTGTGAAGGCCACACATATGAGCAACAAAAAGGTCCATGTGCCCCTCTCCAAATGCTGGGGGTAATGGGACTAAAGGGAAAGCACATTGAGCAGGAAATCAGTGGAAAGGAGCAGAACGCAGGGCCACTGGGCAGCCCCACACCAGTAGGTCCTCTAGCCCTTCCACACAGTTGAGTCTCCTAGGATCTATGGAGCCCTGCCAAAGGACAGGGCCACACAGTTGAGTCTCCTAGGATCTGTGGAGCCCTGCCGAAGGATAGGGTTGGATGGAGAAGAGCTGCTAGCATGGGTCCACCGAATGGCCCCATGTTCTCCTCCTTTCCTTGCTGCAATTCCTAAGAACCTGAACTGCTCTCCCAGGAACCACAGACAAAAAGAGCAAAATGTGGGGTCAATACTACCAGAAGCCAGCACCCCATGCCAGCAGCTCCTCTAGAGCAGCTGTTTTGGTATCACCCCAAGCGCTGTCCTCCAACGCATCTGTACAGACTCCAAGAGACACAGCTGTGTGGAAGGTCAAGGAGCACTACAGCCATGTGTCTTTTCCTCAATCAGTTCTAAAGAGTACCCCAGCTCAGAAGTCTGTCTAGTGCAGCAGGAGGCCAAAGACCACCTCTTTTCCCCCTCTCCAGGTAACAGTGGATATGGGGGGAGGGGCTGGAAGAAGTCATGTGTGATGGTCACATGCCCACTTTATGTCCCTCCCATGAGTCCCAGCCATCCCTGATCACCGGCTAATGCAAGAGTGGGGAACCTAAGGCCCAAGGGCCAGATGTGATCCCCAGCTTGGCTGAATCCAGCCCCCAGAGCTCAGGGCTTCTCCCACCCCAGCATTGGGGAGCCCATGCTGGCACTACAGCCCCCACTGTGCTCCGCCCAACTAATTTTTCCTGTGGATCAGCAGCCCCTACCCAAAAAAGGTTCCCCACCCCTGAATTATCGGCTACTGATGAACTTCTCTCCTCTATGAGCTTCTCTGCTTCTTTTTAAACCCCGTTACACTTCTATACTTTGTGACATCCCAGGCAACTACTTCCACAAGTTGACTGCACATTGTAAGAAGTTTTAATGTGTTTCCATCTTGCCACTCTTTCTTTTTCCATTTAACTACCTTCTCAATTTTGTGTAATTCCCCTTTTTGAAGTTAAATTAGGTGGGTGCCCTGTTAATTGTTTTTTACATTATGTTTGCTATTATTAATCATTTAAATTATATTCACCTGTTGGACAAGATCATGTGAATCACTTGAAACTAATTAAATTGCCCCTCTCCTAACAAAAGCATTCACAGTGCAATGCATGTTTCAAGTCTTTAACATGAATCATCACCTGGTTCTAAAATTTAAAAGGTGAGCAATATCTAAGCATCTACCTAGCTATTTGTCAGGTCAGAAACAAGCCAGATTGTTGCCTCTTTTCTATCAAATTCATATTTGCATGTTGCAAATTCCCACTAATTCCAGTTCCCCTCCCACCATTTAAAGATCTAAATTTGTCATTAACATGCAAGATTTAGAATTACTTTTTACCATTTTTTCACATTATGCAAGCTGGCAAATACAGAACACCCTGCTCAGTATACTTTGAGGGTGTCACACACTGTTACGAGTACAATGTTGGGGTTAAAAACATAGGAGCACTTAAATTTCTCTTTTTTGCTAAGGCTTAAAATCTCAAACATTTCTGTATTTTTCAAAGGGTGTTCAATCACTAAAAATATATAAGGCCTAGATTTTGGGCCTATAAGTAGTTAAGAGTTTCCCTTTAAATGAAGCTAAATATCTAATAGGATTTTGTAAGGCACTAGTCACAATAGTATCTTTAGGAACACAAGAGCTTTGGTTGAAGTCATGATTTTTTGGTTTTTCATCTTTGGTGGGAGCTGTTTGTTTGGAGAGGGCGTTATTTTTTGCCTCCCAAAGATGACAAGTTATTTTA